CAAACATACAAAACGTGTCAGTCATTTGTGACCAACAAACATACAAAACGTGTCAGTCATTTGTGGCCAACAAACATACAAAACGTGTCAGTCATTTGTGACCAACAAACACACAAAACGTGTCAGTCACATGTGACCAACAAACATACAAACATACAAACAAACATACAAACATACAAACAAACAAACAAACAAACACACACACAATTATTAATAAGAGCTGCAAATCTTTCACAGAACTTGAAACGTTACAAAATGCTCACTGTGGGAACATTAGTAAATTGACTCAAAATCTCTTGAACAAAAAATATTAGGAACTGATGTTATGTTAGTTCAGCACAATGACAGGAGGGTGTGTTGTAATCAGAAGGTTGTCAGTTCAACTCCCCAGACCAACAACAAAAAAATGTAGGTGGGGAAACCCTGTTTTGCCCCATTCTGGGCCTTTAAGCAAGGCAGCAACCTACATTTTGATGATAGTCATGGGTCTTAAACTGGCAACTTACCTAACATCTAACCTCTGCTCCACCACTCAGGTCTCTCAGTACAAAACATCCATGTGAAAAAGAACATCTCACAATCACGTGAGCAAAACCAGATGCTTGTCTTGCAGCCAGCTTTCCACTAAAGACCCCTGACAGAGGTGATGGGAAAAAGATTTTATTTTGCTCTTTAAAGACAGAAAGGTTTACTGCATGTCTGGAGGTGATGCCTTATTTCAGGGACAAACAGTCATGATTGATTGTGTGGACATTGAGGGCATAATGGTTGAAAACTGACAATTTACAAAACCATTAAAAAAACCTATGTGAGTTACAGTCTATGGTAAGATAGCAGCTGCCAGAAGAACTAAAAAAACTGCCACTCAACTGTTGTTTAAAACAGCTTCCTAATGGCTTTAAACTGGAAATATGGACTTTGGAATCATTTTAAGATTTACAAAAACATTAAATATATTTGTTACAAAATGTGTAAATAACTCAGCTTTGCTCTTTAAGGCTCTTAACTGTTGTTTAGATAGAAAACTAGTAAAAACACACAGAGTCTATACCTGTATACCAGTTGGCCGACACATGGCCTGTCCTAGAATGCTGAAGATTGTATTTTTGTCTTCTTCACTGGTGGTTGCTGGCAGCAGCTCCTCGATCTCTTTCTTTTCTCCTGGAAGCAGAGGCAATCCCTCCCCTTGGCTGTAATAAGACAATACATTCTGGATATTAACGTTCACAGAGAACCATTTAAAAGACTGATGGGTGCTTAAATAACAACCAGATACTTTAAATTAGTGGCTAACCTGGCGTTGTCCACTACCTTCCTGCCCCAGCGATAAGCCCAGCTGGCCAGAGCTGCCCAGGACTTGGCTAGTTCTGGTGCCAAGCTAGTAGAGAGCTGATAGAGCTGGCCCAAGACAAAGTCTGGCTCTCCAACACCCACATTTACTGTAAGATCCCAAAGGTCAAAATGTTATGTGGCATTTTCAATTTAACAAAGCAAATGCACAAAGTAATTGTTTGACTGCTTCTGTTTAAAGGCACAGTGTGTAGGATTTGATGTTTTCAGCGACATCTAGTGGTTGAATCATCCTCCCTGGTCTTCCCCCCACCCCTACCCCACCCCCCGCTTCCAAACACAAAGGAGTTGCTACGGTGTCTCTCAGGTGTCAAAAACCTTTGATAATTCCAACTGCGATGTCTACCAGCAGCTTCAGGGCTAGTGATGTTTCAAGTGGTAAGATTATGAGCTTTAATAAGTAAAATTATCCCAGCTACAATGACAGACAACAAATATTACATTTATAGTATTACAACTAAAACCGTTTTTGACACTGCCACCGCAGTTTGTCCTTCATGAGCCTTCGTAGACAAGATGGCAGTGCAAGATGGCGGCTGCCTTTTGTGGCGACCCGCGACCATGGAGATATGAACAGCTTTTTATAAGGTAAAAATAATAAAACAAGGTCTTTGCAATGATTAGACATGTTTTTTATTATTGTCATTAGTGATTATCTCAGCTTCGGCTAAAAGAATTGACAAAATCTTACACAATGTGCCTTTAAGTATTTAGCTTATTGTTTCATGGAAAAAAGCTTTCAGCGTGTATTTAAATCCTACACAACATGTGTTACCTGAAGTCTCCGCAGTGATGTGGGGATTGCCCTGATGCTCCAGAGGAAGTTCCAGCAGGGCAGCGATGTTCCGGCTCAGAGGTGATATGTTGCTCATAACACCTGAATTTACTGCTCCTGACTTCTTTACCACCTACAACAAAATAGTCCTTTAACAACTTTTTTTTAACGATAATATTACAACAAAGCACAATAGGGACTGAAAATCCAGACTGCTTTCCAACAAATATATCAGTATTAAAATGCTTAGTGACTAAAAGACTAATGTGAAGCAGTGTTTGGACATACTGACATCCACACAAAGTTGCTGAAGTTAACATTACATCATGTTAAAATAGAACAGATACATATTTTTTACTATTTTAGAAGTATTTTTTTCATTATTGTCGCTACGCCTAATTTATTATGCAAATTACTGTAGAAATGCACATATTCTGTCCTGTCAGATTTACTGTCCATCATTACTTTGATTTTCTTTTATAAAATACAAGGCCAGATAAATCCAAATGTTTGATTCATGTAGGAATTATATCAATCTTTGTGTATTGCACAAACCAACCATAAATAAGCATTTATTCTAGGTTAACACAGTGAAAAACAATCATGAGCTGTTTTAAGAGTTAATTTTTCCAAACATGAGGAGAAGAGACACCATACCCATTGCAGTAAGAAATACTTGATGTGAAATTGATATTTTAGCTAAAAGCATGCCTGTTTGAGTTGAGGGGTCATGTCCTTCCAGTCAGCCAGCAACCACTTGCAGAGCGTCAGCAGAGAGCGGCAGGCAGCTCCTTCATTCTTTCCCACGTGGCAGTAGGACAGGGCAGTCCTGCTTAACATCTCCATGGCTGTCAGGGACTGACCTGCAGACAAGATGATACTGATGGAGGCAACTGAAGGGAGATGCTTCCAGAAGATGCTTAAGGAAGCTTTATGAACAATACAGAACTCGTTTTTTTAAATAAAAAGCAAGAGGCAGTGTTTCTCCTAAGATAATCTGTGCCATGAAAAAAAAAAACAATGATAGAACCTCGTAAAGCGTTCCATCATTGACTCCCCCATCGCAAAAGGCAAATGAGTGATTCTGTTTTTGCCCGGTTTTGTCCGTGGTTTGAGTATATTTCATGAACCAGTGTCCAGATTTTGACCAAACTCTCAGAAAGTAATCATCGGATGTATTTGTAGTCAATCTGACACTCAGTCAATTTTACATTTAATTAGTTGAATTGGATGTAGTAGTGTTATGCGCATCACATTCCCTGAGAGCTAACAAACCTCACAACATCTATAGGGTTCAAAAGAAGCCGGCAGCCAACAGGATTTGCTGTGTAAAATCTCCATTTAGCCAAATTTCCACCTGCTACCTTTGCTGCAGTCCAGTTGTAATAGAAAGTAGGAATTTCCCCACTTATGAGCTCATCACATTTTGGGACCTGAGTTACTCGTTACACCCCTAACAAACAATGATTACTTTGAGTAATAGTCTATAGTAGTAGTCTTTTTCCATGATGTGTTTGAGTGAAATACAGCAAAAGTAGATAAATCAATTTAAATAAATCCACCCACGGATGGATGGACAGATAAATTAACAGAGTTATCATAGAGTGAATATGTGAATCTTAGCAACATGTCACAACCAAGTCTGATTAATCTGAATGTGTAATACCTGAACATGGAAAAATAAAAAACACAAATTTACACAAAGATAAAGTCAGATATAGGGTTCCCACGTTAAGAAAAGGAAACAAGAACGGAGACAAAAAGTCAACAGTAAGCTTTAAAAATCTTCTGTTTCCCACCTGCTGTTCTCAGGACTTTGGCCTTTTCTATCTGAACCTCTGGTCCCCATTTCTCCCCCAGAGTGCCCTCTAGGGTGAGCTGCCTGAAAGCCTGGCACAGATCTTCCTGTTGCTTCTCTTCCTGTGTCCCATCGCAGCACTGGCTGAGGAGGCGAGAGGCCAAAACTATGTTGCCTTTTTTCCGGGAAAATTTGGCAGCTGTCAGACAAAGCTCCAAAAGATGGCCGTTTATGGATGAAGAGTAACCTGGACATGTGGAGAAAACATCAGTTATTATTATTATTTTTTTTATTGTTTGAGAAATGTGAGCTGTAGCTTAGAACAATTCAGGTAATCCATTTATTTCACACAACATCTTTTCAGAAGGTTTTTATTTTGTCATCACAGTAACTATGTGCTTGTTAGAGTTCATGATACAAAAGTTTAAATAATAAAATGTACAGGGTTCAGGCAGGTTTCATTAAGTTAAATTTAAGACCTTTTAAGGCCATCAGGAATGACATTTAAGACCAAGCCAATGCATTAACAGAAACATTCAAATGGTCCCAGAAATTTTAACATAGAAAACTTTTATTGACATCTATTTAGCTATTAAAGAATTTTTAATTTTAATAAAAGAAGAACACAAAATTATTTTAATGAAACAGTCATATCTATGAGACCTTCATATCGACTGCTG